GCTGAGGCTCCATTAATCTGATGTACTAAAGTTACCTGGCCTAACTGTCTACCTGAGACACACAAATATAACAGTCTTGTGTAGTGCAGGCCAGTTGCATTGCCATTTGCCTTTTGTTCTGTCTTCCTAGATCCATTAGAAGACCTGACAACAAGTCTACTCTAACCACTTCCTCTGGGGTTACAGGATTTCCTGTTATATGTGATGGACTGCAAACTTTCCACTGACATAGCAGCTCAGCACTGCTGGAGAAAAGAGACACGCCACAGCTCTTTTGATTCCCAGACGAAGAACTTTACAAAGAAAAATCAGCAATGCCACAAAGGCTCTTACCACTCTGCTTTCTTCCAGAGTTTTAAACCAGTCCTCAACTTTTTTTTTTTTAAACCCAAGTCTACTATATATGTGCCATATAATTTCTCCACAGAGTGCTTTCTAGACTCTCTTTTGGCACAGTGGACTTAAAAAGAAAAACAAATGGCAAACCACCAATATACATTATAGCTTTCCTAAAGAAGAATCCAAAATTTGATAGTTTTTTTTAAACCTTGCATTGATTAATTGACAGTTACTCTTGCTCATTACATGGAAGCTTACTTTAAGATAAGTCTAGTCATAAGATGGATGAACACAATGTTTGAACATGCTGCTCTGGATTGCTTCTCTGCCTCCCTCGAGAAACAGATTTCTGATGGATTAATATTTAGCTTTGGCAGAAGTAGCATATTTTGCCTGCCAAACACAACTTATAAAAGTCAGTGTCCATAAAAAATTATTTCTCACCATTCAAGCTTAAACTCTAAACTTGACCAGGACTTATATGCTTGCTTTCCCTTCCCTTCCAATTCATTTAGACTTTTTCCTCGTAGTGACCTCAGCTTAATGGAGCAACAATGTCGTTACAGTAGTGTACATCAGCCACTCAGACTGTTTCGTAGTGGGAGGTTGGTCTGCTGTCTCTTTGGCTCAACTTCAAGCAGACGGACTGTCTTTGCTTCTCTTATTGTATCAGCGACAACTGCTCTGGATATAAGCGCATATCTCAACATGAGCCAGTTGTGACCAGTCCTGCTCCTGGTAAGCCAACATCCTGCAGAGTTTATCACCAACCTGCCTGAAAGTTTCGGTTCCTTGATTGTCTGGTCCAGATGTGTTTAATTGTTTTGGAGTTAAGCTCTGCAGAACGATGGCCCTCCAGGAGCAAGATTGGCCCTTTTCCTTCTGACTGGTTGATAGAAATGATGTTCCAAAGGATGTTGATCCAGGAAATTATATTAAGCATCCATATATATTTGTTGGCATTTCTAATCCTCTGGTCTTTGACTACAAGCCTAGAAAGGCATTGAGCCCGTAGTGCTAGCTCTTGTGCTTGGGCTAATTTTGGCCTCCGTTGTTATACTCTGAGAGCTGCTCAGTGAGGAAGCTAAAAATACTTGGGGCTTTATCAGAGCAGATGTGTTTACTAGCAGATTCTAAGCCGCCTACATACACACACAGCTTGTCATCTATCCACACCCCCACCCTCTTTTTTGGCGCTGTCCTTATTCCTCAATATGAGGCCATTTACTGTGCTCTGATCCTGCCACTCTGCTCCTTTGTTCTGTAGTCTCTTTATTTCTCACTTAATTGATGTCCATGTTAAATCTGCAATCAGCCTTTTTCGTTTGCACCCCAGTGCTGATTTACAGTTGCTCTTGTGCTTCTGATATGTAGATGTAGGTTATAAAAGCAGTAGGGTGTTACAGCTTTGTCAAACCCTCCTGTCATGCATTAGGAAAGAATCTATCCCAGGTCCTATACTTCTCTCCACAGGTCGTCCCATACACATACACCCTTCTCGCTGCAGCTTGTTGCCATAGGAACACTCCTGCAGCAGACATGCGCTCTGGACCTTCTGAGTCCACTCTTCATGTCTGGCTTTTTAAAAAAAGACGAAGCGTGAAGATCTGTGCATTTTACGCATGCCAGAAATAGCTGCCCCAAGCCTTCCCCAGAGGCCCACATCTGACTTATCGGTGGTGCTAGACAGCTATATCTATGTGCCACTCAGGAAGAACAGGCCTCAGCGCTGCTGAGACTCTTTCATAGCTTTATTTAGGTTTCGTGCTGGTTGAATCAGCAGAAACATGTACATTTTACCTTGAGGCTACATTTTAAAATGTCTACTGCTTTGTTCAGGAAGCAGAGGTGCTTAGGTCATTGCATTGATGCCAGCTGATCTCTGTTGTAATGCATAATGGAGTTCAGCTGCGGTTGGATTTGGTGTTAGTGCTCAGCTGGTCATGAATGTTCTTTGTAAATGCATGTACCTCCATTTCCTTCTGGCTGTCTGTGTAAGCCATGCTAATTTTCATACCCTCTGTGAATTTTCACACTGCTCATTCTAAATTACAGCTGATGGTGATGCTGGCTTCATCTGGTTCCCTCTCCATCAAGACTGCTGACAAAGTGGGCAGTTATCGTTGTGCTCGGTTCTGCCTCTTATGGTACTACTAAGATCAGAATTAATGATATGTATTGTCCTTAAGACATGAACATCCTGGGAGGATTTTCACTGAAAGTTTAAGATGAAATGTGTCGCTAACATCACCTAATGTGCAGGATGATTCTTCAAATAGCTTTCTGCTATTCCCCCCCCCATCTTCCATTGTTTGGACAAATGTAGTTAAACCACAAGCTCATGCCATTGGTAGAGCCAATGTTGGTTAGGATGCTCAAACAGCACATTTGTGTTAGCGCCAGCATTTATGTTTCATGGAGCTCAATCTACAAATGGCCTAAACTATAGCTTTAAACAGGCTGTTGTTGTTTTTTAAAGACCAAAGTGTGTGGAAAATAGTGCTTCTTACGAATCGCTACCCTTCATGTGGAACTGGCAGACTTCTGTGAAAGTGGCTAGTCTGCATCTTACAACATTTCCAAACATGCCTTGTTTTTTTTTAGGCCAGCGCTGTCATGCTGGTATAATAGTCAAGAACGCATTAAAGCAGGTCAAATGTCAGCTTTGTTTGCAGTATAGCATATCAAATTATGTTCATGTTCAACTACAAAATTAAGCAAAAGTGCTTGGTTTAGTTGTCACTACTACAGCATTTTCAGTTGTCCCTATAGCACAGACAAATGGTACACTGGTGACAAGATTTTTTACATTTTAAACATAGAAAACTATGAAATCACATTTATTCTGACATGTCCGAATTTATTCAAAACTCATCCAAAAAGACGTAAATATAACTGTTCCGACTGCATATTGCCAATATGCTATTCTATGAACAACACTGCAACGGAGACAATGACTTAAAGAATGAGGCTTGTGGACGCTACCAATTCTAGAAACATTTCCTGTAGCGACACAATGAGTTTTCAGGCAGTTTCAAAGGCATTCATTTGACATATCTAAATGTATTCCTTTAAATTGTACCTAGTTGTCAACATGTTCAAATTTTCCAGTCTTCATATTTAAGAACTTTGACGTTCATTAATCCATTTCATTTTATGAAAAACACTAAACATGTTGGTTAAATCACAATTTTCAAAAACCAGTGCATTTGTATGATTATCTACAGTATAAACATAGATCAACTTTTGTTGTCAGTGCTACAGGAACAAAATTATACTCCACAGCTGATGGTGATGCTGGCTTCATCTGGTTCCCTCTCCATCAAGACTGCTGACAAAGTGGGCGGTTATCATTGTGCTTGGTTCTGCCTCTTATGGTACTACTAAGATCAGAATTAATGATATGTATTGTCCTTATGACATGAACATCCTGGGAGGATTTTCACTGAAAGTTTAATCAGTGAATCTTATCACCTAATGTGCAGGATGATTCTTCAAATAGCTTTCTGCTATCCCCCCCCCCCATCTTCCATTGTTTGGACAAATGTAGTTCAACCACAAGCTCATGCCATTGGTAGAGCCAATGTTGGTTAGGATGCTCAAACAGCACATTTGTGTTAGCGCCAGCATTTATGTTTCATGGAGCTCAATCTACAAATGGCCTAAACTATAGCTTTAAACAGGCTGTTGTTGTTTTTCCAACGTGTGTGGAAAATAGTGCTTCTTACGAATCGCTACCCTTCATGTGGAACTGGCAGACTTCTGTGAAAGTGGCTAGTCTGCATCTTACAACATTTCCAAACATGCCTTGTTTTTTTTAGGCCAGAGCTGTCATGCTGGTATAATAGTCAAGAACGCATTAAAGCAGGTCAAATGTCAGCTTTGTTTGCAGTATAGCATATCAAATTATGTTCATGTTCAACTACAAAATTAAGCAAAAGTGCTTGGTTTAGTTGTCACTACTACAGCATTTTCAGTTGTCCCTATAGCACAGACAAATGGTACACTGGTGACAAGATTTTTTACATTTTAAACAGAAAACTATGAAATCACATTTATTCTGACATGTCCGAATTTATTCAAAACTCATCCAAAAAGACGTAAATATAACTGTTCCGACTGCATATTGCCAATATGCTATTCTATGAACAACACTGCAATGGAGACAATGACTTAAAGAATGAGGCTTGTGGACGCTACCAATTCTAGAAACATTTCCTGTAGTGACACGAGTTTTCAGGCAGTTTCAAAGGCATTCATTTGACATATCTAAATGTATTCCTTTAAATTGTACCTAGTTGTCAACATGTTCAAATTTTCCAGTCTTCATATTTAAGAACTTTGACTTTCATTAATCCATTTCATTTTATGAAAAACACTAAACATGTTGGTTAAATCACAATTTTCAAAAACCAGTGCATTTGTATGATTATCTACAGTATAAACATAGATCAACTTTTGTTGTCAGTGCTACAGGAACAAAATTATACTCTTGCAATCATCTGTAATTAAATCATAAATTAATTAGAGGATAAAAACTGATAAAATAATCAGATTTGCTAGTATTAAACTGCATAAAACTGATTTGCTAGTATTCAATGCTTAAGGTGACAAACAATAAGGGCTTAGTGTTAAGCTTCCTCTATTTAAAAAAAAAAAAGGTCTAGTTGCTAGTTTGTCTAGCAACTACAGTCTCAGAGTTTGCTGACAACTTGTAGATGACTGACAGCCGCGGGAAACCCGCCATCAAAGGCTGCATTCAGGGCTTCATCCAAAGTGCTGGCGAAAACAAAATCCAGGTCAGCTCGCACATGGGGAGGTATCTCCTCCAGATCTTTCTCATTGCGCTTGGGAATGATAACTCGTTTCAGATTGGCCCGGTGAGCTGCCAATACTTTATCCTTTATACCTCCCACCTGTATAAAAGAACACAGACTACTAGACTTTTAAGTGATGCTTGGTCATTCAAACCTTGCAGTCATGATGCTTGGGAGTTTTGGTCGTTGCTATGCAGTTGCTAAGATGTTCTGGGTGGTTGCAAGAGCATACTCCCAAATCCTTATGATATGCTGGTCCCTAGACATACACTAGCATTCAGAGGTTCGGGGTCGTGGAGATCTTTTTAAATGTCTCTTTTTCCCATCAAGACTGCATTTACTTTAATTAAAAAAAAGAGTAATCTTCTGAAATATTATTACAATTTATAATAACCGTTTTTATTTGAATATATTTTAAAATGTAATTTAGTCCTGTGTTGCAAAGCTGAATTTTCATCAGCCATTACTCCAGTCTTCAGTTCAAATCATTCTAATATACTGATTTGGTGCTCAAGAAACATCAATGTTGAAAGCATGCCGCTTAATATTACTTTTTTTGTGGAGACAAAAAATGCTTTTGACTTTCTTATATGAATCATATACAAAGAGAGACTTGAAGTGCTTTCAATGCATTTTAGTAACATTTCCTGAATAGACTCAAAGATCCTTCAGGCATTATTAGATACTAACCTCCATTTCAAAGACTGGCGGTCCAAGAATATCCTTAAGGGCAATGGGGTCAATAACAATTGGCATCTCTGGAGGTGCCGCTATCCCAGAATCCTCCTTCTTGTTCTCTGTATTCTGGTCTGAAAGATACAGAGATCTTTTGTGGGAAACTGGTGAAAACACTGCCGGTGGTTTTTAGTCAATTTATAACTCTGGCGTGTCAATATAAAAGACATAGGTGATTGACATTTCATGAACTAAAAGTAAACTCCATTTAAGCGGAGATAAAACCATATCCAGAAAAGTGAATTACAAGACAACAAAAAAAGCTATAAAATGTTATCTCGCTGGCACTTCCATTATCACATCTATTTGAGGCTTTTCATTAAGCAAGGTGACAGACATTGAGGCCGGAAGGGAGAAAAATGAAAAGAAAAGCGAGAAAGAGAGCTGTTGGAAATAATGGAGAAATATAGGCTGTAGAAAAATGCCACAGGGGTCCGGCTAAGGGGGAGAGAGCAGGTGCTATCTTAATTTTGTGAGGGAACAATAGGTTATTATAGGTTTTAATATCATACATAATAAAGAAAGCAGCTTCAGCTGTTGTATTTACTTTCAGCACTCATCCATGTGTCTATTTTTTTTTTTTTTTTAAATGCGAGTGTTGTGTATTAGCCCTTGGCAAGACACACAATTATATACATGCTCATTGCTGCCCACAAGTCATGTGACTAGACTGTTAATGACAGGCAAATGAGGAACAAGGAAAGTGCATACGCCATTCTGAGGAAAGACATAATACAAATCTTTTAAGATTATATTGTGCAAGATCAATGCACATTTCTAGGAAAAAAAGCTTGCTTTCACAATAATTCACCAAAATGTTGTACCTTTCTCCACCTTATTTTCTGCTAACATAAACCAAAGCAGACAAATAATATTAACTATATTATATTGCTTTACCAGGATAACTGAAATGCTGTAGTTGTGACTCATCTTGACAGCTAAACTATGTATTGTTACTTCATTTTGTGGTTATCAAAAACATTAACTATTAACTAAATATCTCACTTTTTGTGATTTAGTCAAATTCTGGTGTTAAATTAAGTCCCACTCTGCATTACTTTGCACTATTATTATTATTATTATTATTAGTTTGCTCAGAAATCATTTTACATTAGTTAAATGCATTGCAAATTTCGTGTTGGCATGAAATCAAAAATAGCCTCTTTTTTTTTTATCATTCAGTAGTAATAAAAGTGGGATGGAGTTGGTCACATGACCAGCCAAACTGTACTTACCTTATTTTATAATCCTCTTATTAGATGCCTTTATTAACTGAAAACTTTTGCAAGAATCTGCACCCCCAGTTTATTCAGTATCAGTCAGCACAACAAAAAGTGCACCTTTAAAGAGCATCAGACCTATGCTCCTTTATGAGGAATCGGATGGCTACCTGAAAAACCAACTCTTTCATTTCCCGGTACCTCGGGAGGTTGATGCAGACAGTGACCCATAAGAAGACCAAGATGCACTGAATGTACTGAAAGAGTTAAGATAACAGCAGGAAGCACATGTGACAGCTGTCATGATGTTCAGACTAAGAACAACACCTGCTACAGCGAGCGGCAGATAGAGCCTGAGAGACTGAATATAAAATAAAGCGCTCATGCACTCATTTCAAAGCTTTATTCTGGCAACATGGAGAGCAAAAGAAAACCCCTGACCCTCATCTCTCTAAATCTCATCACACACATGGGCCATGCAGGAGAGGACTGAGAAGCAGACTTGGGTTAAATCAGAGTCTGAACAGAGCGTTAACTGGCCTTGCAATTACTTCTGTTACAGAGGAGCAGCTGCATCGAGACGTGAAAGAGGGGGTCTAAGGCCGTCTGTTAGCACGCTTTACCCTCCTCCACCTCTCAGGGGGCCCGTGCTTAGAGAGATTGATGACCAATATGCGCATGTGTGTGCTGAGGTTCTCATAATGTGTGAGAATAGTTTTCTGACTGTAAGTTTGATCATTTCTCAGCATGGGTTCTCTACACACACTCTTTAGTCTGAACACACTTCTATAGTTAGTGTGTACTTGATTCCGTCTGTGTGGCACAGCGAGGGTAAGTATGTGTTATGGATTGTGCTGAAGTCAGCCGTCTGTATGTAGCAGGGAATGCTAAACCCTTTCTGAGCCACTGCTGTATTGCCGTGAAGCAATACACAATACATATACAGAAGCGTTCCTCAATCAAACGGATCATTGATAATAAAATAATTTTATTTAAATATTTTGTATATTTAATATATATGATAACTAACTCAGTTTATTATAATTGAATCCATTTTATTTTAAGTCAATTTTTTTTGATAATACAATAACAATTTGATTTATTTTAACTTTTTTATATTTAATATATTATTTTATATTTAATTACATTTAACTAATAAACTGAATAAAATTACTTGTAATTGTAATAATAATTGTTTTAATTTTACTTATTTTATTTTAAACTCTTATAAACTAATAGTTTTGTCATTGAATGTTTTTATTCAAAGAGTTGAATAGGGTTTGTCGTTGAAAGTGAATTCTGCCTCATAATTACAGTCCAAACCAGTCGATGCAATATTTTCCTGTTCTCAATGAAAGCAAAATACTGCACAAAGTGTCATCCCAGCCAATCAGAACATACTAAAGATTTAATATGTAATTGTGTGCACTTTTTTTCATCCAATGACATTTCACTGTGGGCGGAGATAGCCATCGGGACACAACAAAGACAAGAGCACACTGGGACAAGCCTGTTTTATCTTTGCCCAAAGGCTATTACCATCAATCCTAAGTCTACGACTGAAGCAGAGCCGGGGGAGCTGGTGTAATGCCAGCCGTAATCAACAATGATGTGTGAGATGAAAAAGTCCCAGTTTTACCTGCATGTTGTTCAGTGGGGGACTCTGCTCTAGAGACCTTATGACCTTCAGCGAACTTCACAGCCACTGTTCGACAGATGGCCTCGATCTTCCTCTCCAAAGAGCGCACGCCTGCCTCCCGTGTGTACCTACAAACACGTTCACACACAAATCACTCTGTCATTACTGCTGCCACTGCTGGGCCGGGGCCATGTATTGATTGCTTTATAGCAGATAATCATCCCAAAATTAGCAACCTCTGAGGTAATTAATTAGTTTGATCTGCAAACGTCTCTAATTGACAATCCCTGATGGACTATAGAAGATAAGTTTGGCAGCCTGTCATAAGATACGGTTTTGAAGGATAGAGTGAGACAGCAAAAGGATATAAGTTTACAGGAGGAGACACGGCTGAACAGCCCCATCTGTGACCCAAGCTGCCCCTCTGATTCACATGATACAATCTCTTAACGGTGAGACGTGGCTTTCTTTGAAATGCTACACTCTCCTTTGGCCTGAATGATACTCCTTCCAATATACAGCATATGCATTCAAATGTACTCAATTTCAGAATGTTCTACAAACTTTTTACAGCCTTAAGTGCTATTATATATATATATA